CACCATAGTGGAGACGCCAGGTTTGAGGTGATGGATGTATCGTCTTTCCTTTAGACCAGAAGCGACCATCTTCCAATCACTCCGCGAACCTTCTCGAACCTCGACATTATACGTAAGGTTAGTTAGCGCATCAATGGTGACCTTTGGTGACAACCAATCGGACTTGGCCAAGTCACGAGGCGTCCCTGTTGACGGCTCGGACCACGTGATCATAACTGACCCTAGATCCGCGTTCGAGAAAGTCGGTTTGACCAAATCCATGTTGGGAACTGTCGCGCGAACAGGAATCTTAAGTACTGGCTGTGAAGGCGGTCCCGTGCCGAAGGCGTTCTCCACGTGGACCCGAAATTGAAGGGGCTGAAGCGGCGACGCAATGGTGTCTGGAATTGTCGCGTTCGTTGTCTTAAGCCCCGTGACAATGGGGCTCCAGAAGTAGCCGTTATCCTTTGACATCTCTATTGTGTATGTGACATCACCGAGTCCTTCCGATGCCGGGTTCCAGTGCATCGTCAGTTCGGATGGGGTTGCGCTATCCAACATTAGACCGTCTGGAGCTAACCGCGGCACGCCTACAAGAACAAGATAGCGACGATAATTGCGAAGATGTGTTGAATTAGATAGACAAGGTCTCCGCCACAACTTACTATATCTCACAGGCCGTGTGCGTCCTTCTTGGAGCTCATCTTCACTGAATACTTCACATGATCCTAAAATTAAGCAAGGCTCGTTTAGTAAACGGAGAAATCAAACACTCTAGGATAAATTCTCAGCCCAGATTGGATGCTTTTTGAGCGTGGACAACCAGTTCAGTGGCCCTGGTGACCACGTCAATCATATAAGTACGAAAGTCACGTGAAACTAAGGCAGTTGGAATGCCTTCGGACAACCGACAGAACTCATGAATGGGGCTATGTAGAGAACATAGCTCTCACCATCGACAGAGACGTTGGCGGTGGTTTGTGTTGTGCCAAGCTCGTTCACGGCACTGCAGATGTAGGTCCCACGGTCTTGTGGCGTCACTGATGGAATAGTCAACGTCGACGTGCCATCCATAGTTCGAATACGCCGGTGTTCGTCTGGTTCTAAGATTTCACCATTGTGGCTCCTAACAAAAGAAAACATGGCGGTCATGAACTAATCACTCTGATGTTTTGATGAATAAAAAGGCGAATGTTCTTAGGACATACCAGAAGAAATGCGGAATGGGATCACCGAAGACGCGACAGGTCAGTTTCACAGCCTCACCAGACCAGGAGTCAACATCGCTCAATTTCTTGGTGAACATTGGCGCTATCCCGTCGACAGCAGAATTCGCACTAAAAACACAATCCCATTATGCCCACTGTGAGTGTGAATATCGTGTTTCGTGTGTGGTTAGAAGTGTACACATTGCGTTCTTCCGTTAGTATGCTCAGGAGTTTTCTAGAATGTGCCTTTCTCAATCTCCTTGTAAAAGTGTGATGTTAGAGTGGTTTTTTTGTCTATGCGCGTTTATAGGGCGTTCATCCACAAGTGTGTTAAACGAATGTTCTTTCTTATGAAGCCTTGGGTGATTGATGAGTGGTCCGTGTTAGCATGTGCGCGTGCGTTCTTGTATGCTACGCGTGTGATCAAAACCGTGTGATCCTAGTGTGACATTTTGGCAATTCGTGGCAGGTTTGAGCTAAGCAGTATGCTACAAACGTTGACGTTAGTAGGAAGGTTGATTACGCGATTAAACAATACATAAGAGGTCGGTGCGCCAGTCATTTCATGCTAGCCTCACCTCTGGGTCACGCTATTCTCCGCGAACTGCTGAATGCTGAGACGAAATTGGAACAGAGTCAAGATTTAGTTGGCAACATTAACGGATTAATGAGTTGTTCGTCAATTTCTTGTGGTATGCCAAAAATTGTGAGGCGTTTCGGTGGTTAAAAGAAACCGCGTTTCAGTAAAGGAGGTCGCACCAAATAATTAAACGTTTTGGAACACACAAACACACACATTCTAAAAACACACTTAAGTATAGTCATAAGCACACAAATAACACGCTTGTCAGGAAAATCACACACAAATACCCATCAAATGGCGTAGATTTTTACGGAAAAGCATGAACACACTCAAGCTGATTGACAATTAAAGTACACACAAAACAAGTGTGTACGAAGCAGCTATAAACGCACTAATTGGGGAAATCGAAAATTTACACATTATTAATGGTACACTTAAACACCTGCGTGACCATTGCCACGCACAAACGTCCACGCAGAGCATTATAAAATCAAACGTTCGGACAAATAAGTCCACTCACAAAGACATACTCGATGGCCCACGAAAACATTTAAAAACTGACGCAGCTAAAACCCATTCACATTCAGGCTGAAGTACACACCAAATAGTGCAAATTTTGCGGAAAGTCCGAAGCATGCACATTTTGCTTCATAAAAGCATGCATATTTCTCAAAACCTCTACAGATGCACATGATCCGACCAATCGAAAACTTGCGCGCCTTTGAAGATACACTTAAACACACTCAAACACACACGACTCTGACCCCATCTGGGCCAGTATCGTAAAAGATTCACTGATTGTGTAGAAACGGTGCTACGCATTTACACATCCACGGACACCATGGGTTATGACGTCAGCGAATGAATAGAGTTTACCTCTGGGGCGTGGCAAGAGGTCGCGTCCCGAAGGCGTCCTTGGCCTTCACCTTGCACGACGTCACTGTAGCTTCGCCCTGCGGAGACGTCGCCAACTTGAGATCGTAGACTCCGAGGTGATGCCTGCTGGCTGCTGGAATCATCAGGGCAAAGTAATTCCCACTATTCCAAACGACGTATTCAGATGTAGTTGTCGCCTGCAAAGACCAAATATTTGTCACTAAATCCTCTTTTCCTTTCAATCAGCAACAACTGAATTGTGATTGGTCAGTGAATAGATTAACGATGGACTCACGTCTATTTGCCGTCCATTAACAGACCAGACAGGGGTTATATCTGTAGTACCCTCAGCAACTTCGGCATCCAGGGTAATGGTATCGCCTTCGGACACTCGAATCTCCTTTGGCAGCTCCTTGGTAATAATAGGTGGACTAGGAAGCGTGCTCTTTTGTCTCTCATCCGCTGGGAAGACCAGGAGTTCAGGGAAGTCCACTTCCCAGCCAATTCCATAGCCCTCTTCATCTTCTTCCTCCGCCAACGGTTCCTCTTTTATAGTTGGCAATGGGTTGTACGTGACAGAGTAGAATCCGACATCGTCTAGAGTTACAGCGGGCTTTGACAAAATTACCGAAGTGTGTTCGCGATTCTGAGGAGACTGCTGGATGCTGAAGGCGGTGGTCGGGTCGTCCGGAGACAGTGGAACGCCATTTCGACTCCACGAGACAGATTCTGGAGGTACGTTTTCAAGGGGGACATTGAGATCAGCGACGAGACTAAGCGGTTCACCCTCGCAAGCCGAGAATCCCAGAGGCTGACAGAGGTTTGGTTGAACTTGGAGAACACTCTCTTCTTCCTCCTTCTCCATTCGCCGACGTTTAGATAGCTCCTTCCTCGCCGAGATGATATCCACGGGGATCGACAGGTGCGCCGTAATGGGACATCTCTCTGTTGGCTCTACACACAAGTCACATTACGTAGAATAACGACAAGAAATACAATTCAAATATTAAGGACAAAAACTCACTTATACGTATCTCGTAGTCACCGGAATCAAGCAGAACAGTGGTGTCCAAGTAAAGTTGAGCCATAAGTTCACCTTCGTAGTGTCTACCTAAGGGATTTGGCTCTAGGAGACGCTGAACTCGCTTCCCTGTTCGAACGGGCTGTCCGTTCAGGGTCCATTCAACAGCAGCGACTTCTGGTGGAATTCCAGTGATAGTAAGACAGAGCGGTTCACCTGCTGGAATAGGGATCTTGTCGTTTCCCAGACGTCTGTTAGCATTAGCCTCAATGCACCGAAGTTCCACCGTTTCAATGGGTCTCGATTCTGTGGTTTCGGCAGATGCCACATCGTCAGCTGACGGCACAGACTTCTTTTTGTGCTTTTTCTTGCTTCCATCTCCGGTGTCACGAGACTTCGTCTTCGACTTACGCTTCTCCCTTTTGCTAACTTCGTCTGCGACCTCGTTCTTTTCAACAGTAGTCTCGACTTCCCTGCAAGATTCTACAGCAGGTTCTGACACATCCACTGGAGGCATTTCATGGTTCGCTTGGTCCTTCGATTTCTCGTCATTCTTGACCAGTTCATCAGGAACAGGAGCAGCTTCCACTTCAATTTCTTCTTCCACTTTTGGTTTAGTCGAAACAGGGGATTCTGCAGATACCCGAGGTTGCTCACCATCCATCTCATGAACAGGCTCCTTCACTGCCACAACGAATGTCGCGTACGTCGTTATTTGAGGCTTGAATCCACGTTTGATTCTCGGTTCACCCTGTAAAATATACGTTCCTGCATCGTCCACATCAGCACCCTCCTTCTTGATCAGCTCCACTTCCGTCGACTTCGGAGGCTTGAGTTTGGATCGTGAGGTGAACTTCGCTCCCCGGGGACTGGGTCCGTCGACGTCGCTGAAGACTCGTCCATCGCGTGTCCACCAAAGCCTCTCATTTTTCAGCTGACGAACATCCAGAGGGACGGCGGCAGCGATTGTGAACTTGTCACCAACCATCAAGTTGACGACGTTGTCAGAAGTGGACTTGGTGTCTACTGGCTCTTCCTTGGGTGTAGGTTGCTCAGCCTCTTTTGGTTCTTCAACTAGAACCTCATGTGTTCTTGTCTCATCCAACTTGTGAGTTGGTACCGCTGAAATCCGTGCAGGTTTATTAGACTCTGTGGTAGATTTTACCTTGACGTTCTCTGTTTCCGTGTCCCAAAGTGGCTCTTCAACAGTCTTGATAATTTCATATTCTTCAACTGCAATTCTTTTGTCTGATTTGTCTTCAAAACGATCATCCCTAGATTCCTTCTTATTCATCTCATCTTCGCCTTTTTCATCTTTCCACTCTTTCTTCCGTTGGTCGTCTTTATCGATCATTTCGTCCAATTCAGCCGTGGGCTGTGTTTTCTCGACTTGATCGTCTGCGTCCCAAGATAGTTTGCGCCCACATGTTTCCATAACCTCACCCTTTGTTTCCGTCGAATGTTCTTCCTTGTCGCCCTCACTAAATTCCTCCTTGGATTCTAGGACGACGTCTTTAGATACTTCCTCCTGCAGTTCCACCGTGCTATTCTTGCGTTGATCAGCAGAATCTTCCGCCGGCGCCTTCTCTTCGACATTAAGGAAGAAATTTGCCACCATTTTATCGTCAACCCAAAGCGCATATTCGCCAGAATCAGACTTCAATAATTGCGACGTCGATAATTCCACCTCTGACCCTCTTCTTTGTACTCCAAAGACACTGGATGAGAGCTTTTTGCCATTCAAAGTCCACCAAACCCTCGAAGTACTGTTGACGGAGGCATGTGCTGTTATTGTCAAAGTCTCACCTGCCGTACCCGTCAGCTGAATCGGTTCAATATACTCTTGAATGAGCAATTCAACAGTCTTGAAGGTGTGTTTCTCGACCTCTGGACTAACCGTACTTGATATGCTTCTAGACTCTGACACAGCATCAACCGTGGATGGTACTTCTACCACACGAGGTTCGTGTTGGATTTCAATGATGCTAGTCCTCACTGCTCGATAGTGCTTCGACTCCGCAAATGTGTGAGTTGAAATTGCACTTGAAGTGTCCGTCTCCTTGTCTTGTTGCGTGCTCATCGGCATGGAAGACATTTCCAGCTCCTGCGACTCTTCGAAACCTCCTTCCTCTTCATCAGCCACCGGGGCCTCGGTGATCTTAACGGTCTTGACGTTGAGTTTGCTCGACTCGTTTGTCGGGGCGACGTCATCTTCTGGCTCATGAACATGCACGGCGAACGGAAAGATGGCGCGCATTCCAGAGGTCCAAGAGAGAATGCACTCGTAGCGTCCTTCGTGGAGCTCTCGAGACACCTTCGGCACAAAGAGGTACGCCGCGTTGCCTTCGATGCGGGGGTAGGCTTCCATTTTATCGGGATCCAGTGGTGCGCCGTTGAACGTCCACTCAGAAGTGTAGGTACCGGTGTCGGAGGTGGACGTTTCGATGGTTAGTTCCATCTCTCCACCCTCACAGGAATCAATGTCCTGCAATTCGGCTTGATGCTCAAACGGCTTGTCTGTCCTGATCGAGTGAGTAAGGACAACTTCGCTGACTCCTGAAATGGAAATGGGGGAGATGACTGCTTATCCCATCGATCGATAGATTATCGGAGCCAAATCACACTTTGATTGGGCATAGGCGATGAAGTTGACAATCCTAGACATCTACCACACTTACTTCTTCCGTTGCCTTCGTGTTCAGGAATCTGTTCCAGGAAAGGATTGGCCACGCCGTCAAGCGTATTGACCGAATCTGGAAGAGCAGTAACACCTCGAGTAACAACATGACACGAGACCTGATTGGTCAGCCTTATTGATTTTTATCTGTAGGAGGGAGGTGCAAGAACTTACCAAGACTCAAAATGCTGTCTGGTCGTTGCTTAGTGCTACCCTGTCTAGCCAAGTGCATGATCGGACCTTCAGCTGTGTAGTAGCTCAGGGACGATTCATCGTCGGCTGCAGATTTGAAGAAAAAGCGGAAATTATTAACCCTGTTCTTGACCAATCAGAAAAATGTGCGCCATTTCAAATGTGACGGGCTTTAAAGCTGATTGGATCTTTTTAAACACGCATACACGCATGTACGTACTTCTGCACACACAAAAACACAACAAATGCAGACAAACATACACTTCGGCAGAATCATAATGTCTGAAAGGAGTAGCGCAAGGTAGCACATGACCGATTTTAATACCTTTAAGCACGGCTATGTTTCATTGTTTGAAGCAAGAAAACAGTTCAGACAGATTAACCAATCAAAACAGGCTCTACAAAGGGCACGCAGAAACGCTGATTTGTTCATTGAAAAAAAGAACCGACATTTATCCTTCGTGTAAAATATTGCTCCTAGAAGACTAGATTAAGGGACAATTTGGAGAGAAAATGGTAATGCAGACTTCTACAACTAGGTTGTGTGTGGGTGTTTCAGATGCTGGAATCAACACAAATTAATACCTCAAATACAGAACTTGTCTAAGCTAGATAGATTTGCAGTAAGCCCGAATTAAGCGAGTTGCCTAATCTGGTACACACTTTTACTAGAATGGGGATACTGGATTGGCTGGAATTAATCTAGTCACTCAAGGATCGCTGATAGAACGCTTGGCATTAGGATCCACGATTATGATGTGCCAGAACGAGGTTGTGAATGTGCAAGTAATAGGGGTGTGGGTTTCTCGCCAAGATTCAGGCACAAATTACATCCCAAACACGACAATCAAGCTTCACGTGAGGTTTGCTTTCTC